TGCGCTCATCTATTTTATAAATTTCATTTCTCTATAAGACTCGGTCTTAAAAAAGAAAGATTCCACTGGAGTTAAAACTGAAAAAACCCACCACCACAACGCTGGATTGGATATGTGATATTTAAGTTCCTTTCCCTATGCAATGGTTTTCTCAAAGGAAGCTAAGCCTGCAAGACATCCTTGAAGTGCAGAATGGAGACCACTCCCAGGATCACCTTTCGGCCCAACAAAGGTGAACAGGAACACCTGTGCGGAGCGTGCTCTGCAGCATCGGTCACTATTCCAGCCCCAAAGGGCAGCACGTGCCCCCAAACACAGTCCCCAAGGCAGGCTGGGGGACTGGCGGGGGCGGGCGGGAGAGATGGGGGATGGAAGCGGGAGTCCAGGGAGGAAGCGCGAAGAGCTACTCTTACGTTTAGGGGACAGCCTTGAACGTGACAGAGGGGCGTGCACACGTTGTAGGATGGGAAAGGACTTCGCTCTGTAAACCCTCACCTGAATCACAGTGAAATGTTCGACAGCAACAAAAAGGGACCATTAGAAAAATGGAGTACAATGGTGTTCCTCTCTACTTGTACCATGTGTTAGTCAGGGTTGACTAAAGGAACAAATCCAGGGAGACACTCATATGTGTCTAAGAAAGAGCTTTATATAAAAGAGCAATTGCATATTGAGAAACAGCCCAGTCCAGATCAAGTCCATACATCTGATAAGTACTCCTTAAGTCCACACTAGTCCATAAAGTCCTCTTCAGACGCAAGCAACACATGCAATGACACCAAGTACAGGAAGATCACAGGCCAGTGGGTGGAAAGCCTTGTGGATCCAGTGGCAGTGGAAGTATCTCAGCACTGGCAGGGGTCTCCACGTGGCTTCTCCAGCTCCAGGGCTCTAGCGTAGCTCCATATATCTTGTGAACAGGAATGCCTCACAGGGAGTGTTTGCCTGTCCTGCCTCCAGCAGGGTATTATCTCCTTAGGGCCTCCAAAGGAGGTCAAGCTGCGACTGGATTGACAGGCTAAACTCCACCCCTTCACTCTGAATGGTCTCAAGTTGCCAACAGATTCTGTAAGTACCACATACCATTACCGCAAGGTCAGAAGTTCTAAACCACCAGGCTTTCCGATCCTGTAAAGAATGACAGCCTGGGAAACCCACAGGATCAGTTCTCCCCTGTCTTCCAGGTTCCCTGTGAGTGGGCATTCACTTGATAACAATGAGTGCATGCCTTCACTGACAAAGAGGGACCGGGAAGCCCACAGGAACAAAGAGATCAGGAGAGGCAATAGAAAGGAGCTCCTGAGAGCTGTTAGTTTTTTAGGAAGGATCTCTGTAGTGCTGTCAGGTAAGCCTTGGACTGTGAACCACAGAGTCAGCAGTTCAAATCCAACAGCCACTCCGAGGTTAGAGGATGAGGCCTGCAGCTCCTGTAAATGTGTACAGCCTTGGAAGCCCTACTGAGGGTTGCTAGGAGTCGGAATTGACGCGGCAGCAGTAGGTTGGGTTTGGGTAGTCTTTTAGAAGACAAAAAGCAGATGGGTGAATGAATGGTAACGGACTGGACACCAGAGCAAGCAGAGAGCTCATGCCTGTGTGTGGGGAGGAAGGAAGGGTGAGGGGTGAGCCAGGAGCTGAAAGCCAACTGATCCCACAGAGTCTCAAAAAGACTCGTCCGGAGCCCCTGTTTGCCTCTGCAGGCAGGGTGCAAACAGCACGCATAAGGGACAGTGGACTCCACATCCCATCTCTCAGTGGCACAGCCAGGGAATTCCTCAACCCAGTCAAGGCTAACGGTTTTAGGGAACACCAAACCCATAGAGGCTCTGGATTCGGGGGCACTAGAGCCACCAAAGGGTAGAGTGATACGGTGTGAGGGAGCCAGGAATAAAGTGAGGGTCTGCATATTCAACAATGACATCACCAGAAACTAGCCCCACGTGGTCTCTGAGGCTGGACGATACCTCTCTGGAAGAGTGAGTGGCTTGAAAGGGAAATCCTGTGGATGTTGACATTCCTAAAAAAAAAAAAAAAGGCGAAGGAGAAGAAGAAGGCAGGGATTGGAGCTGGGTGGAGAGAGTCCTACCAGCTGAAAATCCTCAGTCCACCTACCGTAAAAAGACAATTGACTTGATATTTCACACTTAATCTGAGCAGAGAGAGGTCATCAGACATCTGGGGAAATCTAATGAGGAAGCGAAGTGAAACATACAAAAGAGGATTCATCAAACAGGTAATACTAGGATGAGAAGAAAAGTCTTTAAAACTGCTATGAAAATCCTAGCAGACACCAGAAAAGACAGTATCTCCAGGAAACAAACCAACAAGCGAAGGGATACACCGAGAATCAGAAAACAATCTTGAATAAATGAAAAGAAAATCAAACAAATCAATTCAGGGAGTTCAGCATCTAACCAATGGGAATTCCAGGTGAGAAAGAACAGAAAAGCAAAGGAGAAAAAAATTCTAGAGAGGATAAGACAGTTCACTAACCAAGTCTGGGGTTGGGGGGAGGAGGGAGGGACAGTGCTTAATTTTTCAACAAGAGTAAAGTTTGAATCTAGAATTGTATCTCTATTGAAACTGTTAACACATTTGAACGAGAAATAAAGAGATCTTTAGATACCTGTGCTCAAAAACAATGTCTCAAAGACATCGACCTCCCACCAGAAGAGCTAGATGGTGCCCTGCTACCACTGCTTACTGCTCCGAAAAGGACCATATTAGAAGGTTCTGGAGAGAGTGGGAGTAAAAAGTACAATAAATCCCCAAGTCATGCAAGACAAGAGGCCAGGCTTACCGGTCAGATAGAGAATGGTGAAACTTCCAAGACTATGGTCCGCCATCACCCTTCAGGCCTGGAACGGAACTCAATCATTTAAGGTACAAAGACAGCATTTATCTAAAGACAAAGTTCAGATGGATAGGACAGAAGGAAACAGAAAACACGGGTGGGAGGGGGTGGATAGGACAGGATAAATGATGGCTCATTAAGAGGATTGCAATGGATACGTGGGAACAAAATGGGTATGAATTGTTGAATGTAAAACCGATGACCTGCTCTCTATATCTTCCCATAATGCCCTATACAAAGTATATATATAACCTCCCATGACTTTTCTCTGGAAGGTCTTTGAGGATATGTTCCACCAGAGCATGAAAACAAACAAGAAAGAAGACATG